AAAAAAAAAAAAAAAGCAAGTCAGCCCTTATAGACCTTAACAGGAAGAGCAAGCTGGCAGCTGAGAGCCAAGCTGGGCACTTGTAGCTGTTTTGTTTGGCTAGCTTGGCATTGTTGTTATTATTTTTTAAATTAAATTTGAATATCACAGGCCTTGCCATGCCCTATAGTCTCCATTTACATTACTTGTTGGACCACTGAAATTTATTTTTGTGTCCCTAGAATACTTTTGTGCTCTCAGAAAACTGCCTTGAATTACAAAAATACCTCCTCCCTTCCCTCTCACCACAGCAAGGGGATAGCAAGTCAGTGGTTTCTGTTAATCTCTGTATGGTAGGATTCAGGTATTTGAACAAAAGGACAAATATTTTATTTATAGTGGAAATGTGTTTCTTTGGTGATAAGATTCTATCCAGTGCAACCCTCTCTCCTATTTAATCACTGAAAGATTTCTACAGATAAAATAAATATCCCTGGAGGGTGTGTGGCAATTTAACTTCAAATCAGAATAGATTCTCTGACATATTATAACACAAAAATGAATAGAAATAATGCGTAAAAAAATTAACTTGGTCAATCTGTGAAATAATAAAAAAATAATGTGATGGTTTTAATACATGTGTAAAACAGTGCCATTGCTTACTATTTGGTACTCCATTACACACAGGACATAGGCACATGTTGTAGGTTGTGCCAATCAGAGTCAAGACTCAAAAAAATACAGAGGGTTCCAAAAAAAAGGTATACACATTTTTTTTTTTTAAGCTGAGCTATCCTGTCACCCGTTGGCAGCTCAGTGGCAACTCAGCTCGGGCCCATGTGAGAATCAAACCGGCGACCCTGTTGTTCAGAGCTCGCACTCTTGAGCAAGCTCTTAACCAACTGAGCTACTCGGCCAGCCCTTACACATTTTAAGAAAGGAAAACTGTGTTAAAATTGTAATACTCAATATATACCGATAACAAAAGATGAATACAAGTCACATTTGACTTCTGCAATTATAAGAGGTACTCAAAGTGGTTACCATTAACTTAATTTTAATACAGGTTTTTCCTTTCTTAAAATGTATATACATTTTTTTGGCACCCTCTGTATATCCTGATGTGAGAGGCGGAAGCACTATAGTCATACCTGGTTTCCACAGGCAGCAGTGTGATGTTTTGAGCAGCTGCATCCAACCATTTAGTGGCAGAGGTATAAGTGTCTGTGCCCAGTATTGGTGGCAGTGATGCCTCAATGGAACCAAATGCTGCAGTATGATTTTGGACTTTATCATTGACATCCAAACTTAGTTTTCTATGTCCTTAGAGAGATCCAATATCATTTTATAAGTTTTTTTGTGCTTGAATCAGCAAGTATTGCTTTCTTCTCCACACAACTAAAAACTGACTGCTACAAGCAGATACTGTCTCCATTTTACAGATGAGAACATTGAGGACCAAAGTTGTTAAATGATGTATCATTAGATAGAAGTAGCAAGTGATACAAATACAATACATTGATAAGCAAACACATTTAAATTTAGCATTTAAAAGACAAAGGGCTTACATACTTTAAAAACACTAATTATGTTTTTCTTTAAACCAGATAAAAAGCTTGTTCTCTGCCTTGACCCAAATATTAAATGCCAACATTAAGGCGTTGAACCCCTTACTACTTCAGAATGGGTCATGCTCTTTTTATGCTTCCTTGATATATCACATGTACTTCTTCCTGCAAATTCTTTCCTCTGTCCATCACAGCCTCCCACCCATTTTAATCAATTTGCCTCTTCTTACTTCGAAGGCCAGATTTAGTGATGATTCCCCTTGGTAGCCTCTTCTGAGCTGTCAGCAATTATTCATACCCACTCCTCATGCTCTCCCAGGATTCTATTTCTATTCATGATAAAATACTTACTAAGCTTGTTTGTCTGTCTGAACAAACCCACCCATCTCAACAAAAGAATCAGAAAGACTCCAGATTCTGCCCAACCAGTGGAGGGTGCCCTGAAAACTAAGAGGTTAGGACAAAGTTTACTTATTGAACAGGGATTCCCATGCACTAAGAATGCTGACAACTCAGCATATAACCCCACACAGTATATTGGAGACATTGTGTCCAAAGAAAGTTGAATGATTCTAGGAAAAAAACTTGAATAAAGTGACATTTGCAAGTTTATATTAAGTAAATGGGTGCATACCCATCTAACTGTGAAGGTTACTACTTGACAAGTTCAGCCCTTATGCAAAGAGTGCCCACTTGGATTTTATTACTTCACTTTCACACTTTAATAAGAAACAAAGGATCACCAGAATTATGTGGAAACCTCCAACATGAAAGAGATTAAAATATATCAATTGAAAAAGAGAAGAGGAAGAAACATGATTCAGGGAGCAGAATAAAATTTCAAATAAGAAAATAACATTCTCAGGGATAGGAGAAGCAGAGTCCATGAAACAAGATTAAGGCACTATATGTTTAATAAAGACACAGAGAATGATAGAGTTCTTTTGAGTTAAAACAATGCTAAAAATGTACACATTTCAATAGAAAGGTTAAAAAATAAAGTTAAGACAGTCTGTCTGAAAGTNTCAGTGAATAACTTCATGGGTCTCCAATTCATTTGTCTAAAACTTCAGTTTTAGGCTTTAAGAAGTGGATTTTTTTTTCTTTTAGTTTATTCTACATTAAACTCTGAATTTCACAAAATCTTTTTTTATACTTAGAGGTATTTAATGTGATCAAAAACACTACTATTCTAGTGCATTTTTAAATAAATCCAGTAAATATTTATTGAAAACCAAATGTACTGAATGAGGTGTGTTGGGCTGCAGAGAACACACATACACACGCACACACACAAACACCAAAACAGAAAAACACAGTTCCAGACCTCGAAGTATTTACAACTCAGTCACTTTATGATTAGTTTTAACAAAGTATTCCTGCTATTAGATAAACCAGTTATTTTTGTCTCAATTCTGTAAGCCTATTTGCAATCTTGAGTCATTTTTTTGCCATTCTAAGTATAATCTATAAAACTATTTGCCTAATATATTACTTTAATTAATTCATTTTATTTTAAGTATTAACTTATTTAAAAATAAATTAAGCTATATAAGAATTTCCTTTAGAATTATTTTAATCATTAATATTCATAAAACCAAGGAGTATGATGTGCTGGTTAGA